AAGAAAGCCACAACCCCATGCTGACATTTCAAACTCTGAATGTCTATTTCACCCGCGTGCCTAAAGGGGTGTATCTTTTCGGGGAATCTTCCACAGAGCCTTGATTGTGAGCATCTGATTACTCCATGGGGCATGACAGTAGTCAGGTTTGCACACTTGGCCTTTAGAATCCGCTCCCACGCCTCTTAGCCTTTCAGTGAAGCAACACGGGAGAAAGTGCAGTTCTGCTTTCCTTCTTAACATCATCCTTATTTTTTTTCTTTCTGGGTCATTTCCTTTTTTCTCCTCTTTGAAAAATTCTTATCCAAGTTACTATTTGAAGAAACCCTGCAAAAGGCTTTTGTTTGTTTTCAACTGGAAAAGACTCTCAGGGTCTAGTCTCTTTAAAATGTGAAGAAAATAAAGCTACTAATATAAGAGGATGGCCTGCCTCTCTGAGAAGAGACATTTGAGCTGAAGTTTGAATAAGAAACCTCCTAATGAGCCCATTGTAATGGAGAGAGAATGAAAGTTGGGGCTACACATTCTTTGGTCAAATCTTGGCTCTATCACTTAACTAGCCATGTTATCTTGGCCAGGCTACCTTATTTCACCCAACCTCTGTTTTTTCATCTATAAAATGGGTAATAATGCCCAATAACATGGCTCTTCAGATTAACATGGACCATGGTTCTTTGACCTCCTTTTGGCATGATCAGAAAGAGAGGCCTGGACCTGGCAAGCAGAGAACTGACTATCGTGTGGTCCTCTTGTTCCACTTCTATCCTCACAGAATGTGATTTAAACAATTTATAAAAATGAAAAACAATTTACCTTGGAAATGTTGCTAGAACTGTGACCTCCTGACTGCTTGTCTATGGTGATAATTAGCAACTTTAAATAGTTTTATGTAATTGCTTATTACCAGGCTCTTGAAATCATTTCTGAGGCTCAGCCTAAAGGATTTTCCATCACATTTTTAGCTTTGGAGATCAGAAGCCTTCAGGGTGGTATAGTCTAACACACTAGTGGCAGCTGCTATCGAATTTTAAAAAGAACATTGAGAGCCGACAAATAGATTTGCTTATTGTTATAGGAATGATTTAAGAAATTTATTATTTACATTATCATAATGCTAAAAAAAAAACACACACAAAACACAAGGCAAGAATCTTTATTCTTGTCTTCTCAAAGTTGTGGGGCTTTTTTCTACCAAAAGTTTGTGGTCTTTTTTCTAAATAGTCTGCCCACTTCACTTCCTAGTTGTGGTATGTAAAATTATATTTGTGTAATAGAAGTATGTATAATTAGTATATATGAAAGGTTTCTTAAATCTAAAAAAAAATAAAAAGTATAAAGATTAATTTGATTTATGTTTTTCTTTTTATTTTATTTCAGTAACATTGGTCAGTACTACCTAGGATAAGATTTCTAATAAGACCTTGTTTTTCAGGAATTCACTATCTCATGATCTCATCAGAGATTTCATGTAGAGATCAACTGACTTTTCAAAAAGCTACTTAACTCATGTGACCAAAAATGTGAACTCTCTGGTTAATTCCAATAGCATTTGTGAATGTTCTCTATCTACTTTGTTCAAACTCAATACTAACACATGTATTTTTAAAAACATCTTTTGATATTGAAATGATTCATCACTTGACAATCTTTTTTCACACAGTGAACTTTTGTCTTTTATTCTATTTTATATAATAAAAAGAACTAGGATAGTATAGTGTTTTCCCCCTGAATATTCATCTCCTCACTTCCCAGCTACTAGAACAGGTTTACAGTCTTACCATTTATGTTCTAGTTCTTTGCATTCTTATTCAATTATATTTTTAGGAAAATGTAATGTATAAAAAGCAAGGTACACCTATAAAATATTCATTGCCTTGTAATTGTCTTAGAATACTTTTGAGTCTGCTTGTATAGCCATTTAATGAGTAAATTTAATTATTTTAATTTTTCTTAAGCCGGGACTTCAAAGGTTAGTGCCCCTCCCGCACCCCCACCCCATTTGCTTGTTCGTGTATTGAAACTCAGCAATTCCAGTGTATACTAACAAATCTTTAAAGGAATAAAGAGGTCTCTTCAGTTCTGACTGACTTCCTTGGAGGCTTCTAGAGCTCCAGCTCTGCTGGCTGCTTCCTGATTGGGAAAGGGCTGCCTGCAATTGCTTTAAGAAGGGATTGCCAGAGCAAGGCTTTGGGTCAGAAGTACTCATTTCTACAGTGTGACATTTGCTGTATAGACCAGATTGTTCTTCCAAATCACTGTGTTACAACAATAAAGGTGGAAGAATCACAGTTAGGGCTATGATAAGTATGTGGACACAGCTCTAAGCTAAGGAAAAGGTTAATCTAGCTTTGGAATGGACCTTCAAATACTTGTCCCTGTGTCTCTTAAGGTCTCATTTTGCTCAATTAAAATGTCTTCAGAACCTAGGATATTGGAAAGTGGGGGTAGATGTTTTTCTAAATTATGGGATAGAAGTGGGTGGGGAAGGAATAAGGAGTGCTGAGAATGGATTTTTTTAGAAATGTCCAGTTGTGTCTCTGCTGTTAAAGACCTTGCATACGTACCTTTTATATTGCTAAGTCTCTAGTGCCACCCAGATGTCATTTCTTCCATCTCAAGATTTCTGCCAAGGCCTTGCTATCATCAGTGCGTCATAAATGAATTCATAGTGAGCGCTGTACCCACAGTTCCTGCTAAGGCTCATTGTCCCTCCCGACTCTTGCTGAGGAACCATATGACGCAGCCCTTTCTGGTCAAGCTGACTGGACTAGGGGAGGCCCTGGCCCAAGGGTAGCTCACTCACAAGCTGGCAACTGTCTTGTGATGTTGCCTAGTCTCAAAAGTTCAGATGTTTTGTTTTGGAAATTGTTGCAATTTTCCGAGGAGTATAGAAAAGGTAAAACAGAGAAGAGTTATGTGGACACATGGATTATGATGACCCCGTTAACACCGATACAGCAGAAATGCCATAGATCTCTCTTTACTGTGCCTGCCTGGGAATCAATATTAAACTTAATTTTTAGCCTCTGTGCGACTCAGCCCTCCTTTGGTTCCCTATCCTTTTATTTGCCTTGTGTTCTTAATATATGTCCTTCCCATTCTTCACTCAAATGAACTTAAGTGAGTCTCAGCCCCTTGTCATCATGGGAGCTCAATCATAGGCCCTTAGATGCCTAGAGGAGCAAAAACAGGGAGGCAGTCCAGGGATGTGAGGGTCAGAGTCACAGTTCTGGGCCTGGAGATTGGGAACATGGACTTCAGGCTCCCAGTCTTGAGCTGCATCAACTTCTATACTAATGGACTTTTGTTTTGTTTTGTTTTGTTTTTGTTAAACACACTTTATATTTTAGAACAGTTTTAGGTTTATAGAAAAATTGAGCTGAGAGTGCAAAGAGTTCCCATATACTTCTGCCCCCATACATGCACAACCTCACTTTTTATTTTTTAAAAAGATACATTATGAACAGAAAACCAGTGTTAGAGATATTAAAAAGATAAATTTCACCTTGTTGAGTTTTTTTTTGTGTATGATGAAAATTTTTTAGAATTTATGACCAGTAGTTATGGTGTCTCCCTCCCTTATTAACCTGATTGCTTCTGTTTTCTTATCCTTACTGAAAATCTACTCTGGGCCAGAATTCCTGTGTGTTTCAATATGGAATTGTTAGACTATGGGTTGTGCCGATTTCCCCTGCTCTGGATATCCTCTCCCTCTTCAGCAGCAGTGAGGGACTCAAGTCCACTTACGAAAGCAACTACCAGGAAGTAAAGATGAGTTCTACTTCTTCCCAGTTCATGCTTTCCTCCATGCTTTGCCATGAGGAAAGCAGGTAGAGTCACAGGTACTTTATTTATGTTGATTGTATCTGGGCATGGGGTGGGGGGAGAAAAAAGAGATGGTTGTTATATCCAAGAAGTTCTCAAACTCGGAGACCCTGAGCATGCCCCCTTTATCTTTTTCCATATGATCCCAGCCCGTGTCTTCTCTGCAGGCCCCACCCCAGCTCTTTCCTCTCTTATGGTCACAAGAATATCGAAACTGTTCAGCCATTTCCTCTTTATTATGCCTGCATTTCAAAGTAACATGCTGAGTGAGCCATGTTCTTGCTGACTGCATCATGTTCTTATTATTCTATTTATGCATTATATTTTGTTTCTACTAACAAAATGAATATACAAAATATGCCCAACATGCATGACAAATGCTCATATCTTTTCCTTGATGAAAGCTGTAGCCAGTTCTTTTATCAAATATTTTGAACACTACTATGTGCCCGGTCCTTCCAATCAGAGCTTTGGGTATCTCTCTGGTTTCCTTTAATTTCTTGCTATTGTGATTCTAAACTGCTCATTTTCCCTCACACATATTTCATTCTGTTTCATGTCTTTATGCCTTTATTCACATTGTCTCTGTCGGGAATGTTCCCCCATTTGCCTGACTAACTCCTATTCAGCCTTCTAACTCCTGTTCAGGTACTCTCTCCTTGAGGAAGCCACTATATGCTCCATTGCTTTGCCCAAGATGGGTGAAGTTTGCCTCCATTTGCATCCCAAGGTACTGCGTGCATAGCTCACTACCACACTTATCACGTTATAGTGACTATCTGTTTATGTCCATTTCGTCGGCAGACCTAAGGGGAGGGATGACATCATACTCATTTTTGTTTCTGCAGTTCTTAAAACAGTGCATGTAATAAAATATCCTCTATATAATAATTACTTATGGAACCAAACAGAATCAGTCATAGTATAATGTCAAACAGAAATCTTGTAGAATCTCTAGGCAATCCATGGTTGCATTTAACATTATTTTTCACTGCTAGAGACCTTTTACCTAAATCTCCAGTAAGGGCATTTCTAGCATCTGTTGTAGCAATATGTCAGTCATGAGTTACAGGCACACCACCTGATTTTTACTATATAAGAGCTGACTGGATTTTGGCACTGTGGATAAAGGTGCCTGAGTCAAGTTCTAGTCCTGTCCCCTGAACTTAGTGAACATGATTATGAAGACTCCTAATGCAGTGAGCACGTACAGTGTGACCCAGCACACGATTAATGCCATGGCTCTCGCAGACCCTCCAGTATTCTAAGTGGATGGGTTTGAGGGAACCCAGGCATACTAGTAAGCCCAGCTGCCAGTGCAGATGCTGTACCCCAGGACCTAGACCTGAGCCTGGTATAGAGTCGGCACTCAGTAAATACTTGTTCAATGAATGCATACATTTGGATAAATGGATTTAGTTCATGTGAAGGGAGCTATGGTTTGGCACTTTGTAGCTCTGTCATTTTGATTCTGGTGGAGGCACAGCTAAGGGTTGAAGCTAGGAGAAGAAGTTGCTACGGAAAAATTTTCTCAAGGGATTTCTTCGTACAGCACAGTCTCCAGTGATACCTCTATTAGGAAAAGGTGTAGGAATCCTAGTTGTACAATAATGAAGTGGATTTTTGTTGCTCCTGATTTTGCTTTCCTTTTGCCATCTGTGCAGCTGTACAGTTTCTTACAGATCTATTAAGGGAACCAGCAAGAGCCTCAGGACTCTGGACTCAGGGCATGCTGTGCTTGATGCTGTGTCTGGTCTGAGGTAGTTTTGTAGTCTGGATGTTTTGTCCCTTGGAACTTTAAGTTTCCTTGTGAATGAGATGTTTGGACTAGATCATCTTTAAGCTCTTTTCTGGTTCTGAAGTTTCACACTCTCAATGGAGTTTGAAATAATTAGGGGTTTTCCTAAATCCTGCAGGTGTTTCTTAGGTGGGTTACTAGTAAACACTGAATATAAATACATGAAATTATAGATGATTTAGTTAAGGTTCTTTGAATTTTAGCCAAGGACTCTGCTGGTGTTTGGCAATCATATTTCCATGGTGATTAGTATTTACATAGTTCTTATTTCTTCACACATGAAAAATAATAAAGACATGCTATAAAAATTAAAGGGATCAATCTTCCTGTCATAATCACTAGAACCAACATTGTAATTGATATAAAAAGACAGGCCTCATTTATATAAAATTACAAATTTGAATAAAGTAGATGTTTCTCTTTTTTCCCCCCATAGCTCCCCTCCACCCAGTTCCCACCCCACCCTCTGTCCTT